CAGCACCGGGCCCCGCCCTCGGCCTACGAGATCTACGCACGGGGCTACGAGGATTATCTGCAGAGCCCGCTGCAGGTGAGAGAGACAGCCCATAATAACCCCAGAAATATCCTGAAAATATCACAAAAATCAGTCCAAAAATCTGAGAAAAAAACCCACTGAAAATCGGATAAAAATCACCCAAAATATCCCCAAAATGGGGTTTTAGGATTATCTGCAGAGCCCTCTGCAGGTGAGAAAAACAGCCCATAATAATCTCAGAATATCCCTGAAATTACCCCAAAATTATCCCAGAAATGTCAAAAAAAATCCTGCTGAAAATCGGATAAAAATGACCCAAAATATCCCCAAAATGGGGTTTTAGGATTATCTGCAGAGCTCTCTGCAGGTGAGAGACATCCCATAATAACCCAAAAAAACATCCTAAAATCAGCCCAAAATCAGCCCAAAATTATCCCAAAATTATCTCAAAAATCTGAGAAAAAACGGGACAAAAACAGCTCAAAAATGACCCAAAATGACCCAAAAAGGACCCAAAAATGACTCAAATGAGGATTCTCTGCAGAGCCCCCTGCAGGTGAGAGAAACATCCCATAATAACCTCAAAATCACCTCAAAAATATCCTGAAAATATAAAAAAAATCTGAGAAAAAACGGGACAAAAATAGCCCAAAAATGACGCAAAAATGATCCAGAATATCTGCAAAAATATCCCATAATAACCCCAGAATCACCCCGAAAATATCCCAAAATCAGCCCAAAATTACCCTGAAAATATCCCAAAAATTTGAGAAAAAACGGCCCAAAAATGACCCAAAAATGACCCAGAATATGTCCAAAAATATCCCATAATAGTCCCGAAAATATCCCAAAAAATGACACAAAAATCGGAGAAAAAATGGGACCAAAATATCCCAAAATGACCCAAAATCAGCCCGAAAATATCCCTAAAATATCCCATAATAGTCCCAAAAATATCCCAAAAAATGGGACCAAAATAGCCCAAAAATCACCCAAAAAACACCCAAAAAAATCCCAAAAATATCCCAAAATGACCCAAAAATGACCCAAAAAACAGCACCAAAATATCCCAAAAATATCCCCAAAACATCCCATAATATTCCCATTTTTTGGGGTGAAATTCCCCCATTTTTTTCTGGTAATTTTTCTGTTAATTTTATTAATTATTCTAATTAATTTTTAATTAATTTTAATTAATTTTTTTGGGGTGAATTTCCCCATTTTGGGTCCATTTTTTGTGTTATTTTCCCCCATTTTTTGGGTGAAATTCCCCCATTTTTGGTTAAATTTTTTCCCCTTTTTTTCTGTTAATTATTCTGTTAATTTTATTAATTATTTTAATTAATTTTTAATTAATTATTATTAATTTTTGGGGTGATTTCCAGCCCCTGATGGACAATCTGGAGTCTCAGACGTACGAGGTGTTCGAGAAGGATCCAATCAAATACTCCCAGTACCAGCAGGTACCGCCCCTCATTTGCATATCATTTGCATATCATTAACATATCGCGCCTCATTCCCCTTTCCCACCACTTAATTTGCATATTTAGTGCTTAATTTGCATATTCAATGAGTTAATTTGCGATATTTCCAGACTTTTTCTCTTACTCAGCGTCTTTTCAGTATGAGATTTGCATCTCATTTGCATATCATTTGCATATCATTTACATATCACGTCCCATTCCCCTTTCCCAGTGCTCAATTTGCATATTTGATGCATAATTTGCATATTTAATGAGTTAATTTGCGATATTTCCAGCAGTTTTTCTCTTACTCAGCTATTTTTTCTGTGTGAGATCTGCATCTCATTTGCATATCATTTACATATCACTCCTGAGTCCCCTTTCACACCGCTTAATCTGCATATTTAGTGCTTAATTTGCATATTCAACGAGTTAATTTGCATTATTCCCAGCAGGTCTACCCTTACTCAGCATTTTTTTTCTGTGTCTGATTTGCATCTCATTTGCATATCATTTACATATCACTCCCCATTCCCCTTTCCCAGCGCTCAATTTGCATATTTGATGCATAATTTGCATATTTAATGAGTTAATTTGCAATATTTGCGGCGGTTCCGCCCTTACTCAGCAATTTTTTGCTGTGTGATTTGCATCTCATTTGCATACCATTTACCTAACATTCCTCAGTCCCATTTCCCTGCGCTTAATTTGCATATTTAGTGCTTAATTTGCATATTTAAGGAGCTATTTTGCATTATTTCCAGCAGGTCTACCCTTAACATTTTTTGTGTCTGAGTTGCATATCATTTGCATCTCATTTACATATTCCTCCTCATTCCCCTCCAATCTCCCCTTTCCACCACTTAATTTGCATATTTGGTGCATAATTTGCATATTAAAATGAATTAATTTGCATTATTTGTGGCGGTTCCGCCCTTAGTCAGCAAATTTTCGGTGTGAGATCTGCATCTCATTTGCATATCATTTACATATCACTCCCCATTCCCCTTTCCCAGCGCTTAATTTGCATATTCAGTGCTTAATTTGCATATTTAATGAGCTATTTTGCGTTAATCCCGGCAGTTCTTCCCTTACTCAGCAATTTTTTTTGTGCGTGATTTGCATCTCATCTGCATATCGTTTACATACCAGACCTAATTACCGCTCAATCTGCATATTTAATGGTTAATTTGCATATTCAATGAGTTAATTTGCATATTTCTTGATGTAATTTGTATATTCAATCAGTTAATTTGCATATTTTGGGGTTAATCTGTATCCTGGATGAGCTAATTTGCATATTCCAGAGTTAATTTGCATGCCTAACTAGTAGATTTGCATATTCCATGAGCTCATTTGCATATTATGTGAGCTGAATTTGCATATTGCATGAGTTAATCTGCATATCTTATGAGCTAATTTGCATACTCTGCGAGTCGATTGCCATAGTAAATGCGACTAATTCTGTGTCTGATTTGCATAAATTTGCATGGCCACGCCCTTCATTTGCATATCCCCTCTCATAACCACTGTGGAGATGTCTCTAATTTGCATAGAAATGCCTTTAATTTGCATAATTTTGGGGTTAATTTGCATATATATGGTTTTGTGGTTGTCAATGTGAATAAATGTGTGTCTAATTTGCATAAATTTGCATGGCCACGCCCTTTATTTGGACACACCTCTTGTAGTCATTGTGGAGATGCCTCTAATTTGCATAGAAATGCCTTTAATTTGCATAATTTTGGGGTTAATTTGCATATATATGGTTTTATGGTTGCCAATGTGAATAAATTAGTGTCTAATTTGCATAAATTTGCATGGCCACGCCCCCTTTTCCAGGCGATCTTCAGGTGTTTCCAGGATCGGATCCCGGAGGGGCAGAGGGAGAGNATTTGCATATCATTTGCATATCATTTACATATCACGTCCCATTCCCCTTTCCCAGTGCTCAATTTGCATATTTGATGCATAATTTGCATATTTAATGAGTTATTTTGCATTTCCAGGAGTTATTCCCTTACTCAGCAATTTTTTTTGTGTCTGATTTGCATCTCATTTGCATATCATTTACATAACGTTCCTCATTCCCCTTTCCACTGCCTAATTTGCATATTCAGTTCTTAATTTGCATATGTAATGAGCTATTTTGCATTATTTCCAGCAGGTCTACCCTCACTCCGCGATTTTTCTCTGTGGCTGATTTGCATCTCATTTGCATATCATTTACATATCATTAACATATTCCTGCCTCATTCCCCTCCACTCTCCCCTTTCCACCGCCTAATTTGCATATTTTATGGTAATTTTGCATATTCAATGAGTTAATTTGCGATATTTCCAGCCGTTTTTCCCTTACTCAGCGTCTTTTCAGTATGAGATTTGCATCTCATTTGCATATCATTTACATATCCTGCCTCATTCCCCCTTCACAGCGCTTAATTTGCATATTTAACGGTTAATTTGCATATTTAATGAGCTATTTGCATTATGTCCAGCAGTTCCGACCTTACTCAGCAAATTTTCTGTCTGATTTGCATCTCATTTGCATATCATTTACATATCACTCCCCATTCCCCTTTCCCAGCACTTAATTTGCATATTTAGGGCTTAATTTGCATATTTAATGAGCTATTCTGCATTATTTCCAGCAGGTCTACCCTCACTGCGTGACTTTTTGTGTCTGATTTGCATCTCATTTGCATATCATTTACATACTAATCATCACCCCCTCCAATCTCCCCATTCCACCGCCTAATTTGCATATTTAATGCATATTTTGTATATTTAATGAGTTAATTTGCAATATTTCCAGCAGTTCTTCCCTTACTCAGCGATTTTTTCCGTGCCTGATTTGCATCTCATTTGCATATCGTTTACATAGCGCTCCTCATCCCCCTTCACTCTCCCCTTTCCACCACTCAATTTGCATATTTGATGCATCATTTGCATATTTAAATGAGTTAATTTGCATTATTTGTGGCGGTTCTTCCCTTACTCAGCAATTTTTTTGTGAGATTTGCATCTCATTTGCATATCATTTACATAGCACACCTCATACCCCTCCAATCTCCCCTTTCCACTGCTTAATTTGCATATTTGGTGCTTAATTTGCATATTCAAAGAGTTAATTTGCAGCATTTCTTTCGGTTCTTTCCTTACTCAGTGATTTCTGTGTGATTTGCATCTCATTTGCATATTAAGCTTCGTTCCCATCTGCCCGCCCTTTTCTAGCGTGTGATTTGCATAAACAGGGAGTTAATTTGCATAGTCAAGGGTTAATTTTCATATTCTGTGAGGCAATCTGCATATTTAAAGAGTTAATTTGCATATTTAATGAGTTCATGTATTTCCATGAGCTAATTTGCATATTCAAAGGAATTAGATTTGCATATGCATATTCCAGGAGTTAATTTGCATATCTACTGAGTCGAATTGCATATTCAATGAGCTGATTTGCATATTTAATGGTTAAGCCTGCATATTTAATGAGCTCGTGTTTATAATTGATCAGCTAATTTGCATATTTACTGAGCTACTTTGCATATTTGTCGAGTTCATTTGTATGATCAGCGAGTAAATTTGCATGTTTAACGAGGTCATTTACATAATCCATGAGTTGACTTGCATATCCTGTGAGGTAATTTGCATATTCTGGAAGTTCATTTCCATCACCGACGCAGATAAATCTGTATCTAATTTGCATAAATTTGCATGACCGCCCCCTTATTTGCATACACGTATTATGATTGATGTGGAAAGGTCTCTAATTTGCATAAACGTCCCTTTAATTTGCATAAATTGGAGTCAATTTGCATACCTATAGTTCAGGATCCGCTACTGTGAATAAATCTGAATCTAATTTGCATAAATTTGCATGGCCACGCCTTTCATTTGCATACATGTCTCATGAGCAATGCAGAGATGTCTCTAATTTGCATACACGCGCCTTTAATTTGCATAAATCTCAATTTAATTTGCATAAATATGGTTTTATGGTTGTTGTAGTGAATAAATTAGTGTCTAATTTGCATACATTTGCATGGCCACGCCCTCCATTTGGCTACACCTCTTATAGTCCTTGTGAAGATGCCTCTAATTTGCATAGAAATGCCTTTAATTTGCATAATTTCGGGGTTCATTTGCATATACATGGTTTTTAGGTTGTCAATGTGAATAAATGTGTGTCTAATTTGCATAAATTTGCATGGCCACGCCCCCTTTTCCAGGCGATCTTCAGGTGTTTCCAGGATCGGATCCCGGAGGGGCAGAGGGAGAGCAGCGTCCAGTGAGTGACAAAAATACACAAAATTTAACCCAAAAATC